CACAGTTAAAACCCAGGTTAAGCTAAAATTATCTACGATGTCATCCAAGAAAACAATTGTACCATGTACAAAGCTTGAAGCTCTGCAAATAAGAGGATTGTTTTCCAAAAAGAAACTCACTGTGCCAATTGCTTACACACGTGATTTTATACCTGCCAATCGTAGCCATATTCCTACTCCAGACACGGCAAGGTCATGGCCACATTTGGAACATCTCTCTGAATACATTGCTCCACCATTGGACTGTGAGATAGGACTCCTGTTAGGCTACAACTGCACACAAGCTTTAATGCCCAGAGAAGTCGTATGTGGTGAAGAAAACCAACCTTATGCCCAGAAAACAGATTTGGGCTGGAGCATCATAAGTTACTGTGATTTAGTTGATGCAGGCAGCGATGTTATTGGAGTAAGCCATCGCATCACTGTAAAGCATGTAATACCAGAGACTGAGCCAACCATGAAGCTAAAGAATAAGGTTCATTACATCTGCAAGACACAAGTAAAAGAAGTAACAGGACCAGATGTAATCAAAGCTCTTGAAGCAGATTTTACAGAGAAAGCAGTGGAAGAAACAAGCATTTCACAAGAAGATGTCTGCTTCATAAGAAAGCTACAAGAAGGAATAAAACAAAAGCAGGATGGACATTTTGAAATGCCCCTGCCTTTCAAAAACGACAGACCAAATCTTCCCAACAACACGTCATGTGCAATGCAACGCTTAAGCAGTCTTAAACGCAGATTCATAAGGGATCAAAGGTACTACTCTGATTATTTAAGGTTCATGGAGGACATTATTGCACGTGGTGACGCAGAGAAAGTGCCGCAGGAAGAACTCTGCAATTACCCTGCCTGGTATATTCCCCACCATGGGGTATACCACCCTCAAAAGCCTGGCAAGATTCGTATAGTTTTTGACTGCTCTGCACAATATCAAGACACTTCGCTAAATGAACACCTGCTTACAGGGCCTGACCTCACAAACACTTTAGTGGGAGTACTCTGTAGGTTCAGGAAAGGATCAGTGGCTGTAATGTGCGACGTGGAACGTATGTTTCACCAGTTCCATGTAACGCCCCAAGACCAGGATTATTTACGCTTCCTATGGTGGGAGCATGGTGATCTAAGTGTTCCCCCCTCAGTCTATCGCATGAAGGTTCACCTGTTTGGTGCAGCTTCTTCACCTGGTTGTGCCAATTTTGGTTTAAAACATCTAGCCACACAAGGTGAGGGAAAGTTCTCTCCAAACACAGTGAAGTTCATTCAAAGAAATTTTTATGTAGATGATGGACTTGTAAGTGTTAAATCTGAAGCAGAAGCAATCAAATTAGTTAAAGAAGCAAGAGAGCTGTGTAGCACAGGCAAATTAAGATTACACAAATTTGTTTCAAACAGTGACAATGTGTTAAAGTCGCTGCCCAGAGAGGAGTGTGCTGACAGTGTTAAAGATTTGGATCTAGCACTTGGAGAGCCACTGATGGAAAGAGCACTTGGTGGTATGTGGTGCATCTCTTCTGATGAGTTTCAGTTCAGGATAACAGTCAAAGAGCACCCAATGACAAGAAGAGGAATCCTGTGCACAGTAGCATCAGTGTATGATCCACTGGGATTTGTGGCACCCTTCATCCTTAAAGGAAAACAAATCTTGCAACAGCTATGTCAAGAAAAGGTTGGATGGGATGAGCCTCTTTCGGATCAACTCTACAGAGAGTGGGAATCCTGGCTCCTAGATCTTCAAAACTTGTCAAAGGTGAGAATCCAAAGATGCATACTACCTGAAAACAGAGACATCACACAGTGTGATTTACATCATTTTTCAGACGCCAGTGTGACAGGCTATGGACAATGTAGCTACTTAAGAACAGTCACATCCAAAGGAGATGTTCACTGTGTGCTAGTCATGGGAAAGGCACGCGTTGCTCCAACCAAAGTCACCACTGTCCCTAGACTTGAGTTAACAGCTGCAGTAGTTGCAGCAAGAACAAGTGTAATGCTAAGAAGGGAACTGGAGATCAGCAATCTTCAAGAACATTTCTGGACAGATTCTAAAGTGCTGTTAGGATATGTGAATAATGATGCCAAAAGATTTCATGTGTTTGTGGCAAATAGGATTCAAATAATAAAGTCACTCACAGACCCACAGGAGTGGCATCATGTACCATCTGAGAATAATCCTGCAGACCATGCATCAAGAGGATTAAGTGTCCAACAGCTTCTCAAATCTAACTGGTTTAAAGGACCCCTTGAAACTGACAAGATAAGTGAAGTTGTTTCTAATGACCCAGAACTGAAAGCCGTACATGTGCTCAAAACAGAAGTACAAGAAAAGAGAACAATGCTTGATCGTCTCAACAAATTTTCTGATTGGAGAAGAGCTGTTAAAGCTATTGCTCGTTTAAGGAAATTTGTGAAAGATTTTAAAGGAGACACACAAACAAAAGGTGGAAGCACATGTGTTGAGGACAGACGAGAAGCAGAACTGTTCATAATAAAACTTGCACAAGGAAACACTTTCAGCAAGGAAATCAAGGACATTCAACTCAAGGATAAGACACACAGGCTGTATAGCTTAAACCCATTTGTTGATGAGCAAGGAGTACTCAGGGTGGGAGGACGTTTAACAAGAGCAAGTCTGCACCCATACATCAAACATCCTGCCATTATTCCCAAATCAAGTCATATGTCATCTTTACTGATTAAACACTTCCATGAGAAGGTGCAGCATCAAGGAAGAGGAATTACTGTAAATGAGCTGCGTTCCAATGGACTGTGGATCACAGGATGCAGCAGTGCAGTTGCTTCACACATCTTCAAGTGCACAACCTGCAGGAAGTACAGGAGGCATACCCAAGATCAACAGATGTCAGACTTACCAGAGGACAGAATGGAAACAACACCCCCATTCTCTTACTGTGGTGTTGACTGTTTTGGACCTTTTTATGTAAAAGAAGGCAGAAAGGAACTTAAAAGGTATGGTCTTTTGTTTACATGTATGTGTTCCAGGGCAATACATATTGAAATGTTAGATGACCTTACTGCTGATGCTTTTATTAATGCATTGCGTTGTTTTATTTCTATTCGTGGATATGTAAGACAGATCAGGTGTGATCAAGGGACTAATTTTGTTGGTGCTAAAGGAGAGTTTTTGAATGCACTGAAGGACTGTGACAAAGAACAGTTGAAACAATATGGATGTGAGTTTGTTCTGAACACCCCATCTTCAAGCCACATGGGAGGTGTTTGGGAGAGGCAGATTAGGACCATTAGAAGTGTTTTAACTGCTATTCTTGATAAAACTTCTAAGAGACTTGATAGTTCTTCACTCAGAACGTTTTTGTATGAGGTGATGGCTATTGTGAATAGCAGGCCGCTAACAGTAGAAAACCTAAGTGATCCAAGTTTAGAGCCTCTTACACCAAATCATATTCTCATGATGAAGTCTGGTGTTATTCTGCCCCCTCCTGGTGAATTTGTGAGCCAGGACTTGTACTTGAGAAAGAGGTGGCGCCAAGTTCAGTTTTTAGCCAATGAATTCTGGACAAGGTGGAAGAAAGAATATCTTCTTAATCTTCAGCAGAGACAAATCTGGCAAAGAGACAAAAGAAATGCAAAGGTGAATGACATTGTTATTCTTCAAGAGGACAATTCTCCAAGGATCAAGTGGAAACTTGCAAGAGTAACAGATGTATATCCAAGCGCAGATGGAAGGATCAGGAAGGTGAAACTGTTGTTAGGTGATTCGACCTTGGATAAGAATGGACTAAGGACTGTCAAGCCAGTGTATCTTGATAGACCAGTTCATAAAACTGTATTGTTGCTGGAAGCACAGTAAATGTTAAAATGTAAATATATTCCTATTGCAATGTTACATGTTTGAAGTTAAATCACTATAGGTTAGTGATTTGGTGGGAGTTTTACTGCCATATTTTTTGGTTTACATGTTTTACTTTGTATTATGCAATTTTTTGTTATGAGTCTTATTTTGAAAGGCTTCTTTAGGAAGTGTGGAATCTAGCATGTTCGCTGAAAAACTAGAAGAAAAGGATGCACACAGCATGAAGGCATGACATTTGCAAGAAGTTTTACAGAGAAATTTTAGTTTAAAAGGTCCTTTATTTCTCATTTCTACCTCAAAAGGAAAGGTCAGCCAGCGAGGTATGTTTATATGTATTTATATAATTTTTTATGTCATTTTGTACTCATGAAACCATCTCATTTAAGTTTATGTTGTATTTTAGTTCGACGGTGGTTTTGGTGTCAGTGGAAAATAAATTATAAGAAGAATTTTAATAAAGCTGACTTCACACCAGCAGTACCGAACTCTTTATTGCCGTCAAGAAGAGGTGGAAGTGATAAAAAACACTGATCATTTATTGAACAGGATGGAATCATTTCAGATTTAAAGAACTTTCAGAAGTTTGAATTCTGAATGTGACCAGAGTAAGTAAATTCTGTTAGAAATCAATTAAGTATCTTATTTTTTTAAACACTGGATTATTTAATCGCATTTCAAGTGTTAATATAAGTGTGTGTATTCATGTGTTTATACACACTAATTTATATGTGAGCGTGTTTGGATATAAATTTGCAGATTTGTGCATTGAAGTATATATTATTAACTTCCCTTTGACATCATTGATTCTTTTCAGAATAGGGAAACATGACGTCAGCATTTAAAGTTAACACTATATAGAGAAAAAATTGGATTTTCAATGATAAACCTTCTAGGAAATACATCTTATTCTGCTAGAAATCAGTTAATTAGATTAAAAAAAACACTGGATTATTTAATCCTATTTAAATAAAGAATATAAGTGTGTATATGCATTTGAATAGTCACACATATTAATTTATATGTAAGTTTGTATAGATATTGATTCATAGATAATATGCAGTTTCGTTCATACTATTGAGGTATGAATGAATAACTGCCCTCTGACGTCATTGATGACATCACTCCAGTCTGCTAGGGGGCGGTAAATGCCCCTTAACTTGGTTTTCACCCACCAATAAAAAACAAAAGAAGAAGAAGGAGTCCAGCTGTGGTCTGTCTGTCTGTCCTGATCGATCGGAACCAGGCATCATGGCTGAGGATCTGCGGGCTGAGCTGCAGAGCTTCCTGCAGAACCTGAACATCCAGATCAGCTGTGTGGAGCATCCTCCGGTAAGAACCGGACCGCTTTGGATCCGTGTTCAGACCACGAGGATCGCCTTCTGCCGAATCTCATTACCGCCTCTTACTGTCTAAAGCGGCTTTTTGTTTTGTTTAAGTATTTTAAAAAGTTTCTTATCCAATAAATAACATAACTTTATTGACAAAGTGTCTCTGTTTAATTCGGCGCCCCTCCTTTATGGCAGAACCTCCTGTGGTTCAGGTCCAGAAGCGCTGGGATGAGTTTGCTGCTCTGAATGTCAGACTCCTTTCAGGACACGTAGACTGAAATCCTCATGATTGGGTTTAGATTTTGCAGCCGAACTTCTCAGCATATCCGTTTAATCTTAAATCATAGTTTTTAATTTATGTTATTTTTATTTTCCTGCAGAAAATTATATTTAATGTTAAAATAGAAGGTTTTTATACGGAATATGTTGGATCTGATTGATTCAGTGATTTTTTTTTTTTCTTTTTTTAATATTTATTTATTTAAATGCACGTTTTTCTTTTTTATTGAAGCCCTACCAAAATGTTTTCAAATATAGAGTCAAAGTACCTCCTGAACTTTTCTGAAAAAGGAACTTTTCAAGTTGTTGTAGAAGCACTGATCCGGCTCAGCCAGCAGGGGGCGCCAAAACACAGCAAAAGAAACGCATTAACTAGACAATTCCCCAGATCAGCCCCCAGAGCTTCAATGATGGAAGTTTTTAGATGCTTTCCTTCTACAACACACCGCGGTTCCTTCATCAGCAATCGGTTGACTCAGCAGAAGCTCAGTTCTGATCCATTCATCAGATTCTGATGTGTTTTGGGAGGAGATTTTAGCTGCAGGATATTAGCCTGGAATAACCTCTCCAACCACTCCTTCTCCCCCTCGCTGCAGGTTTTCACTGTGGAGGAGATGATGCCTCACCTGGAGGGCGTGAGTGGCGCCGTCACCAAGAACCTCTTCCTGAAGGACAAGAAGAAGAAAGGCCTGTGGTTGGTGTCTGCTCGCCATGACCGGCAGGTCCGCTCGTATCTTTGGATCCCTCAGCCTGAAATCTACTTTAAAAAGTTTAGAACTTCTCCAACCTTCTTATTGCCTGCAGGTGAACCTCAACGACCTGGCCAAGAAGCTCGGTGTCGGCAGCGGCAACCTGCGGTTTGCAGACGAGGCCACCATGCTGGAAAAACTCAAGGTAGCGAGTCTGAAGGACGGAGAATTTAAAGATGAACCGTCTCAGACCTTCAGGTCTGGAGATTAAAATGTTAATGGGGGTCACAGGAAGGTAAAGTGTGGGAGGAGTCCATCCTGGATCAGAACTCCTGAACAAAGCTGGAGAACTTTAGATAAAATCTGAATCTCCATGAAGTTCAGGACGTAACCTGCCTGCCTTGTCTCCTCTCAGGTGGGTCAGGGCTGCGCCACGGCTCTCGCTCTGCTCTTCGATAAGGACCAGAGCGTGAAGGTGGTCCTGGACAGAGACCTGGTGGAAGGAGGTCACCAGATGGTCCACTTCCACCCAATGACCAACGCTGCCACCATGGGGCTGCAGCCTGAAGACCTGCTGCGCTTCCTCAAACAGACGGGCCATGAGCCCATCCTGGAGAGCTTTGAGTAGTACGGACCTGGTTCTGGTTCTGGACCTCATCAGGACAGGAGCTTCAGGTTGGAAGCGGGACCTGAAAGGTCTAAATGTTGGTGAAACAGAATTTCCTCTGAACTGGTTTTAACAGGAATCTGAATGATCTGAGTTTGGTTCTAAGAACCTCAGGTCCACAGAACCCGACTTTAACGGTTCCGTCTTATTTCTTCAGTTTCTCACCTCATAAAATGTCCAGTTTTATTGGAACGTGACCCAAAGCCATTAAAACATCAAACAGAACCAAACTGAGTCCAACGTCGTTATAAGATCCGAGTTCTTTGACATTTCATCCCAGGCCTGGAACCAAAGTGGAGTTCCGGCTCTCTGGTTCTGGTCCAGCAATCCTCTGAGGTAGGGGAGCAGATCGGACTGGCAGGGTGGATCTCCTGCAGATCTGAATATCTGTTAGTTGTTCCTCTGGGTCAGCTGGTTCTGTTTCATCTGGTGAACAGAACCAGCTCAGGTTCTGCTGGGTTCTGATCCTCCTGGTCTTCAGACGGCTGCTTTGACCTCCTGTCCTCGCCACCATCAGGCTGGAAGCATCTGCAGCCTGTGAGGTCATCAGGAAGTGAACGTCGTCACACTAAAGGAAGCCGTGTGAAATAAAAGAATCCGTTTTTTTTTTTTTTATCATCATAAAGCAGAAAGTTTGGCAAACCTTCTGCAGTCCAGCCTCCTCAGTGGGTGGAAGGAGAAGAGATGAAGGTAGATCTTCTCCCTGAGCCACTCCAAGATATTTAGTGGCCCCATCTGGCCCCCCCCTATGAATTGTTGATTCAGAGTCGGCTACGCTGAAGCAGAGAAACCTCTAAAACCTGCAGGACAGCGCCCCCTCCAGGACCACCTTCGGGGGGACGCCTGGTCTATGCCCTCTGCAGCTCAAAGGATTGTGGGAAACCATAGAACTACTAGCAGTGTAGGAAGGTCCCTGTGCTAACTGTTAGCCCATTTCCACTACCCTTGAAAAACCGATCCATGCCGAGACCGGTCCGAGCTCGGATCAGTTAACCAGGCCGAGTTCGGTTCTGACGACCGTTTACACATCACGCTATCTCGGTTCCTCGCCTCCTAGTGACGATCTGCGGTATTACTGCCAGTATTGAAGGAGGAAATCAAGCAGTTGGTGGCGGTAATGCACCAAAAGTTGTTTGCCAACCGCCATAAAACCCAAGAAGAAGAAGACAAAGAAGGAGGGAATCAAGCAAATCAAAATGGCGGCGCCCGTCACATTCAGAAAGTTATGCTTGATTATTATTGCTGTACTTCGGTGTTATTATTTAAAATGACATTATTTAAAATGTTGCCTGGAGAAGATTTCGATTGTTGTTTATAGTTGAAGAAGAAGTTGTTCTTCTTCTTCTGTTTCTGGATGGGCATTACCGCCAACTACTGGAATGGAGTGTGAATCGCGATGTGCAGCCAGACGGACATGACGCGTTCTGCTCATGCGCTCTTGTTATCAGAGAACCGAGCCAGGGAAAAACCGAGCCCAGCCCACCTCTGGAACTGGTCTGCAGTTAGCTCGGTCCGGTTGTGTCTAGCTCGGTTCAGTTCAGTTTGCTTTCCATTTACACACTATAAGTTATCTCAGTTACTGAGCTCGGACCGGTCTCAAACCGGTTTTTCAATGGTAGCGTAAATGGGGTATCTTCTTCCAGACTACCAGCTCTGCTCTGACGCATTTCCACTTGGGCTGAACAATTTTGCCAAAGATCAAAATTTGCGATTACTTTCAACCAATATTTTGATTTTATTGTGTTTTTTCTTTGATTGTAGATGTTTTACTTTAGAGTTTCAGTTTTTTCGATGAACGTTTAAAGCGGTGGGTCAGAGGCCACGCAGCTGCCAGTGAGGGGTTAGACCATCTTTTTACGCCAGTGTGAAGGGAGACAAATGTCGATTATTAGCAGGTCGCTAATTTTTAGCGAGTCGACACACGTTAACCGGCTATTTTCATTGGAAAAGAGGCTTTTTAGCGTCATCTTAAGCCTCTTTCCCACTGAAAATAGCGGGTTAACGCATGTTTCTCAAACATGAGTCGATCCAATAACTATTGGCTTCCTTCCCACTGGCAATAAACCTTGGTCTAACCCCTCAACAGCGTGTCTGGTGACGTAACGCTGAATTAGTGTTGATGATGTCACCAGTGTGACATGAATCAGGGAAGTAAACAATAGAGAGCAATATATCAGGGAGCCAGGGTGTAATCAGTGTGTTTTATTGTTTCTATTATCTGTGAATCTCTCTCACCTTCTGCTCCATGTTAAACGAATGGAAACAGTTGATTCTGCTTGTTAGATCAGAAGCTACTGGTGCGGTGTGATGACGTCGGTATGTTGCGTTCAATAGCATCACGTAATTTAGTGGGTCAACCCCGTTCTGGTGTTCCCACAGCATGCCGATCCGAGGAGATTTTAACGCGGGTTGCCGTCCGAGTCGTTGACCCCTATAGACACGAGTCAGTGATCTGATCACACCGCCACTAAAAGCTGATGGTTCCAGAGTTTAAACAGACAAACAACAGAAATGATTCAATTATTGCCGATAATGAGCAACGCAAAAATTTCTGATCAACAAGAAGTTAAACAGAGAAATTATTCAGAATTATGATCTTTTTTATTTGTCCTTCTTCAGTTCCAAGTTTCTAAATTAAGAAAATAATCAAATTGGTTCCTTTCAGTTTGCCTCAGTGATTCCAGGAGAACTTTAAGAAATAAAATCAAAGTGTTTTAATCTGAAGAAAAAATAAAAATTGAATTTATCTCCTGAACTTCAGGAGCGTCTGGAAGAAATCAGACAAAGTTGGAGCTTGAGATTGTTTCAGAACTTTTCCAGCCAGAGGTTGGTCCCTCTGTGGGGGGGTTTCTCTGAGTGGGTGGGGGTTGGGTGGACCTCTCCCCGCATCGTTAATGAGCCTCTTTATTGTTGCATTGTTGTATAAAATTAGCAACTGAATGCAGGCAGCCTGCAGAGGCTGAGTTCCCAGGGATTCTTTCACACGCTCCGGTTCTGCTCTGCTGTGACGCCTCTGCAGGCCGAAGTACCGATTTAACCAGAACAGCAGTTCTGGTCCAGTTCTGATCCGGTTCTGGAGGATTGAGGAGATCCACCTGTTGGTGCTGGAGCTGCTGCTGTCCCTTTAAGGGATCCAGGAAGTGACCGGGAGCAGGCAGGAGGTGGGAGGAGGCGCCTGAAGAGGAAACAGGTGTGTGTGCTGACAGGATGATGTCATTCCTGGCTGAGTCACCTGCAGGACGGCTGCAGGAGCGAGGAGGAGGTGCTGCAGGGAGGAAGGAGGCCCAGCAGGAGCAGCAGAACCTGTGAGAGCTGCAGCTTGTTCAGGTGAGCAGGAGGAGAGAGGAGTCGTTCTGCTCCTCAATGAGGGGGAGGTTTCATTACTGATATCAGACGGACTGCAGGCAAACCTCTGAGCTCAGATCCAACTTTAAACATTTGAATCAAGAAGATGAGGAGCAGATTCTGCAAAGATGGTTTCAATCTTCATTAGTTTAAAACCAGGAAGAAAAACTAAAAAAAGCTTCTTTTCTGTTTTATGTTTCATGTTTTATACTGATGGACTTTAATATCAGATCATTTCCAGTTCAAACAGTTTATTAAATATCAGATTAGATCAGTTCATCTCTGCAGCATCTTTAAACTAATCGAGGTTTTATTAATCAGAAGCTCCGCCTTCATTTAGAATAAAACCAGGAAACGTGACGAATATTAAGGTCTGCTTTGGTTATGGCTCCATATAACCGTAGAGTTAATAGAACAGATGAATTTACTGGAAAACCAGCTGATTGCATCGACTCATTGACTCTTCAGCAATCCCTCACACTAAGCATGCTTGTAGCGACAGTGGAGAGGAAAAACTCCCTTTGAACAGGAAGAAACCTCCAGCAGAACCAGGCTCAGTGTGAGCGGCCATCTGCTGAGGCCCACTGGGGTTCAAGGAGACAGAAGCAGACATAGAAAAAGCAGAATGATGAAAAAGGGGTCCCTATGTCCTCCAGCAGTCTAAGCCTATAGCAGCAGAACTATAGAGATAGATCAGGATAACCTGAGCCACTCTAACTAGAAGCTTTATCAAAAAGGAAAGTTTTAAGCCTAGCCTTAAAAATATAATACTTAATCATTTAAATGGACGAATAAAAGAACTGAAGAAACAGAAGATCTTCCACCTGTAAAAGTTTTATTCTTAGAATTCTAATAACCAAGTCTGTGACATGGGAGCTAAAACCAGATAGAAGGTTCCTCTCGTTGTTTTCTGCCTTTCACTCCAGCAGATGTTCAAAGGTTCAGAGACATTAGAAAATATCTTCCTTTACAAGGAATAAAGTCAGAGGGATGTTCCAGATGTTCTCCTGAGGGTTTAAAGTTCATCATGAGAAGGTTTGAAGCATCGCTGCTTCCTAAATGTTGGTATCGACCCAACAGAACCAGAGTAATGCATTCTGGTTCTTCAAAATGTAAATCCTTTTATTGTCCAACAATGAGGAAATCCGTTCTTTGCATTTAACCCATCCCCTTGGGGAGCATTGGAGAGCAATCAGGGTTCCCAGAGTGGAGGCTGTGGGGATCGAACCGGGTACTGCAACCTTCTCTGAGCACAAGCCCACTGCTCTAACCACTGGACCAACACTCCAACTGGAGGAAACCCGTCCAACGTCAGAGAGGTGAGAACCTGCGTCCTACAGACGATCAGAAGCAATGACAGCAAGAACGAGGAGATAGATGGAGCCGTCAGAGGGTGAAAATCCATGATTGGACCGTAGCTGTTAGCATGTTGATACAGACAGAACATCAGAACCACTGAGTCTGGATTTGGTGGAATCTGGGAGATGAGGCCAAGTTTGATTATCAGTCAAAGATGATTGGTTCACTGCAAAAACGATCTAGAAATGAGCAAAAGTGTCTTAAATTAAGTGTATTTATGCATGATTACAGTTGGTAAATGAGACGATTCGCCTATGGAAGAAGAATTTTTAAGCTTCAAAAACGATGATTAGATAAAATATGCTTGAAATAAGATGATGCAATTGTTTTTTTTTTACTTATCTTAAATGTGATCTGTCTTGTTTCCATCGGCAAAGTGTCTCACTAATCTCCTCAAATAATGAAAAAAATGCACTTATTTTAAGAGAAAATGACTTTTTTTTTGTAGTTTTATTATTGGCTGGATGTGAACAAACTGAAGCTCCAAACAGCAAAGATTATTGTTTACGTCTTTACAAGGTGAACCTCCACTTATCCAGAGTAAAGCTGGTTTTATCCAGGCAGCGTTTTAAAAACGGTGATTCATGCTTCGGTTGCATCCAGGCTGGATTAGTGTTACTGACTTCACCCCCCCCCCCCACGAGGTTAGAGAAGCAGCCGTCAGAAAAGATACTGAGCAGGAAGTTCTGATGCCGTTGGTCCCATTGGGGGAAAAAATTATCCTCACTGGTCGCCTGGACACCTTTAACTTCCCTGATCTCCACCTGCAGCGTGTTGCAGGCGTCTGAGCTGAACGCCTGACAGCAAATGGATCCTGTATGTGTGTGTACCTGTCTAGCCCTCAGAGTGAGGACCATTTTTCCAATTTCACCATCAGATGATGACCAGTCGTTGCAAAGTGAGGACATTTTTCTAGTCCTCAGAAGCTATTTTGCTGATGGTTAGGTTTAGGGTTATTGCGGGCATCCCCAATCGGTCCTGGAGGGCCGCTGTCCTGCAGGTTTTAGAGGTTTCCCTGCTCTAGCACAGCTAATTTTAATTTAAAGCTAATTAACAGGTGTTTGCTGAACTGCAGTCATCGTAATCAGCTGTGCTAAAGCAGAGAAACCTCTAAAACCTGCAGGACTGCGGCCCTAGAAAGGGTTTAAAATAACTGAAAATCAACACATGGTCCTCACTACATATAGCAGAACAAGTGCGTGCGTGTGTGTGTGTCACCATCATATGACTGCAGAGTAAACAGCTGGGATGTGATACGGGATAACGATGAGATTATGTCATACGGGAGGAACACACACACACCTGGGAGTGAGCGTCACCTGACAGGATGTTTAATGTTCAGCTGCTGCAACCCAACCTGTTTTTATGAGACCCCTTCTTTAAATGACGTTCTGTTGACTTTACTCCATGGTTCCTTATGACCAACAAACAGGACAGTGACGTGTTTTGTAGTAAATGACTCCAGGTGATCTACGGTAAATAATCCTGAAAGGTTAACAGTTCTGCAGAGAATAGCTGGAATATTTATGGTTCTGTGTCGTTTTTTAAACATTTAAGGTCTGCTTATCGTCCCGCAGCAGCGTGTCGCAGATATTATAGATTTATGCTCAATATTGAAGCGTGGTCTGCGCTATGTCATTCCACGCCACAACGCCAGAGGGCCAATCAGGAATAGCTGTGGGTCTAGATACGGCCGAGGCGGTGAGGAAGTGGGGGAAAGTTTGTGCGACAACGGAGGGACATGAGGCCCAAAAAGAGCGGGGATGCAGGTGGAAAAAGGTTCCCAGTGTTCTCGCTCACTGTCACAGACCGTCTGGTTGCCAGGTCAGAACTAAAGATAGAGCTAAGCGTCATCAGCATATCAGCGGTAGGAGAAACCAGGTGATTAGAGGATCTACAGAACTGAGAACCTGGTGGTGATTCAGGCTTCTGCACTGCAAAAACGATCTAGAAATAAGTAAAAATATCTTAAATTAAGTGTATTTACCCTTAATTTGAGTAGGTAAATGAGATAGTTTGCCAATGGAATGAGTAGTTTTACTCTTAAAATAAGATAATTAGATAATATACACTTCAAATAAGACAATGCAGTTGTGTTTTTTTATTTTAAGTGTAAATTGTCTTGTTCCATTACCAAAATGTCTCTTTTACATCCTCAATCCAAGAAAAATTAACTTATTTTAAGAAAAAATTACTTATCTAGATTTCATTTTTTTGCAGTGAAGCGGCTTTCACAGCCAGCAGAGACGTTTCTATGGAATATCAGCTGTAGAAATCAGGACTGGTTTGGACCCAGAGGCTTAGATTTTGTGAGTAAAAGAGGTGATTTTGGGTACTGATGAATAAATCAGTAGATTTTCTGACCTGAATAATGAGACGTTACATCATCAGCTGAGGTCAGAATCACAGGAGTCTGTAAGAACACTTAAATCTAAGTGCTGTCTGAATTGTGCTGGCAGGTAGGAAGAGGCTAACCTGACTCCGCCAGATGGATTTGCTCCGCATATCCGTCTGGAAACCTTCCATTGAAGTAATTTTGGGAAGGGGCGAAAATACTGGTTAGCTGATTGGCCTATGTTGGTGATAGACGGGCCAAATAAACCAATCAGATCAACGAAGCATATGACGTACTAACAGAGCGACGACGAAGAGGAGCCAATTGATAGATCAAACTCTTGCCAAAACCAGTCGGGAGAAGAGCAAAAACATCTTTTCCTCTGAGAAAAGCCTCCAGAGCAGTGTTTTGCTCTTCTTTCAGGGAAGAAATACTCTGTAATTCCGATAAAACTTGCTCGATAGCCACGCTATCGCTAGTTTCATCGGCTGAAGCCGCCATGTTCTTTAGACTGAACTGTTGCGCTTCTCGTTGCGTCACACCTCAACCCGCCTCAAAGCCAACGCTAATTGGACGTTCGTTTGGTGAACGGCTCCAAATTTTCTTTAACGGAGAGTCTCCAGACTGATCTGCGAGTGAAACCTTGAAAGCTCGCGAGATCAGGATGGTCTTACGAGGCTACGAAGAGGCAGCAGGATGCTGTTCATTTAGCAAAGGAGCTCTATGGTTTCCCAGCTAATCCCAATCAGGTGGGCCGTGCCTGTATCGATGGGTCATAAAGTTTACTCTCTGTGAGACTAAAGCTGAGGTTCAAACCTTCGTATGTTTTGGGATTTATAAGAGGTTAACATATTCACTACATTTGGGTAACTTTAGATTTTTGTCGTTATTCTCTTGAAAACTGTAGTTCCAATTTGACAAGTGTTGTTCTTTAGCTTTTCCGCTAGTACCAGATCTGCTCGGGGCCCCGCCCCTTCTTATGACATCATTATACGGCAACTCGGACAAACTCGGACAAACTTGCAACTGTTTCTTAAGTCTCAACATATTATTCCCTGTATTAGCTATTATTTTACATTTCATCGGTGATCTAAAGTAGCTTAAAGCAGAAAAGTCAGTTTATTTTAATTCTTTTTATTAAGACCTGAGGTCAGAGAAGGACAAATGAAGCATCTTAAAAATGACTTTCATAGAGATTTTAAACAAATGAAACAGTTATTCTACTTCGAGAAAATAAACGGTTGTTGTTGACACAAAGTTGAAAGTAGTGTAGCTTAATGTGGCTAAC